GAGGTAGACTGGCCATGTAGGGTGAAGTAGAGGGAGGTGTCAAGCATACCTTTTTTGTTCCAGGAAAATTTCATAAGTTAATAATTTAAAGAGTTTGTTATTTGTAGGTCAGGTGCGATGGCTCATGCCTATAATCTTAGCACTCTGGGAAGCCAAGGTGGGCAGATCATTTGAGCTCAGGAGTTTGAGACCAGCCTGAGCAACAGCGAGACCCCGTGTCTACATAAAAAATAGAGAGAAATGAGCTGGACAACTAAAAATATATAGAAAAAATTAGCCGAGCATGGTGGTGCATGCCTGTAGTCCCAGCTACTTGGGAGGCTAAGGCAGGAGGATTGCCTGAGCCCAGGAGTTTGAGGTTGCTGAGAGCTAAGCCGATGCCATGGCACTCTAGCTCGGGCAACAGTGAGATCTGTCTCAAAAAAAAAAAAAAAAAAGAGTTTGTTATTGTATTAGTTTCCTGGTATTCTATTGTTCCTCCTGTAACAAAGGATCACAAAACAAATGTTTACAACCACAGAAATTTATTCTCTCACAGTTCTGGAAGCCAAAAGTCCAAAATCAAGGTGTCAGCAGGGCTGTACTTCCTCTAAATACTCTAGTGAAAAATCCTTTCTCGCCTCTTCTAGCTTCTGGTGGCACCAGGCATTCTAGGGCTGTGGCTGTGTTACTGCAATGTCTGCCTCAGTCTTCACATGGCCTTCTCCTCTTTTCCTCCCTGTTTTTTATAAGAACACTTGACATCAGATTTAAGGCCCCTTCAGATAATCCATTAGATCTCATGTTGAGATCCTTGACTTAATTACATCTACAAAGACCCCTTTTCCAAAGAAGGTCACATTTATAGGTTCCTAAGGTTAGGATGTGGCCATATCTTTATGGGGGCCATGGTTCAACCCACTAGAGGCATTATGCAGATAATCTTTTACACACCAAATGGCAGGAGCTACCAGGACTGACCTGTGTGCACACATCATTGTTTCCAAACATCATTTGAAGAGCACTGAAGTTTCTGCCTTCAGTTCCCAAATAACCTCAAGTAATTGCCAAAGGATATACCTTAGTCCTTGTGAAGTCTTTGTACTCCATAGCACCCTGTGCATAACTTCCTCTTTGGATGCAACCCATACATTGAATCACCTGATTATTGAAGTCTTTTGTTTATTTGTCTCACTTGTTTGTAAAGCCCCCTAGGGAAGTGACTGTTTCTTATTCACCTCTGTACCCTCATGGCTAGAACTGTGCCCGGCAAAGAAGGAATAGTCTTCTTTAAGGCACTTCACATTATGTTGTCAAGAGGCCCCCAATATAATTTTCTTTTGTTTCTTTCAAATCCTAAGGAACTATTTAATTAATTAAAAATTGCTGAATAGCTGCTGCAAATTGTTTTTGAATGAAGGCAAGATATAAATAAAAATCACCACTTACTGTGTAGTTTTTATGTGACTGCTGATGATTTAAAGATGAATAAATTCTAGTTCTTGTATTTTCCTAGCTCAGTCTGTTGGAGAGACATGTCTGAACAAATTCATTATAAATCAGTAGTAATGACTATAATAAAGGCATGAAAGAAATACCAGGGAAGCATGGGACAGAGAACAACCAGTTGTTTTGAGGGTTAGAGATGGCTTGAAAAAGGTGACACTTGAAAGATGAGTAGGAATTTTCCAGGAGGAGGATATTCCAAAGAGAGATGAATCCAACAGAGGATCCTATTGAAATCAAAGTGGCAACACAGGAGTAAAAATTCAGATGCGTTTCAAGAAAAATAACATTTTAACAGAGGCAGAGGCAGATAGGAAGTGGTTAAATACATTCAGTGAATAAGACTTGGCACTAAATGTACACGCAAGGGAAATGATGCGGTCAGAACCACCGCGAGGCTGTCCCTTGGCAGACCCTGGGTCTCTCTTTTAAAAATGGGGTGTCTGCACTCTTCAGATGTTAATTGGAAATGTGGTCTGGGTTTTCTCCGTGACAGGCTGTAAATCTATATTTTAGTCAGGGCTTTGCTCTTTTGGATTAATATATAATGTCCTTGAAAGCCCTCAATTTTTTCTTTTCTATTTTTTTTTTCCCCTAAAGAAAAAGAATCTTCTTTAAAAAGCCATGTGATAGTGCTGGATTTAGCTCATTTTAACAAAGGTCACAGCATTTTTGAGTAGTAAACAGTATTACTAGATCTTTCCAGTATCTGGATGTTTGGCAAACGTGTCTCTATCTCTGGAATAAATGACGAGGGCTCCAGGGGCGTATGACAGCTCTGGCCCTGGAAGCCTGTGGGTATCTGGGAAGAGGCAGATACATCCTGTTTCTCTTCAACCACAGCCAAGAAGAGAATCAAGGCGCAAAAAGCTGCCTTTTGCTTGAATCAACCAGCCTATTGAGCAAGTCTCGAACCTGTCTGGTCTACTGGTTTCAATTTGGCCTCAGAAACCACCTGGATAAGAGGAGATTTATTTGAGAAGCTGCTGCCAGGAATCTAGGATTACTTTCAGTTGCAACTCAGCAGCCACCTAGATTCTATTCCTAGGGCAGTTCCTTCTGTGATGATAATATCAGCAATTAACATACTTGTATTTATAAAGCTTTATTCTTCAGGGAGTCCTCAACCCTTGGATGAGGTCAGCTAATTAATTTCTGCAATGTTTCAGATTAGACTGTTGCATGTTTTATGACCTTGAAGATTGCAGTGATCATTAAGTCACAAAACATTAAATCACTTTTGCAAGGACTCCCAGCAAGGAGGTGATAGGAAATAGGCAAAGAAATAAGGTCTTGGACATTCTGAGATGTGTTTCCACCACTGCCCCCAAAGCAGGACCCTCATGGGATCACCTTAACAACTGTCACTTGTTAAGCAAGGAGAAAAAAATAAAAAAGAGAAGCCACATTATAAATGGAGAAATTACATGCTTCAACATTCTACAGAAACCCTAATTATGCTAGTATGAAGTCATCTGAAATTATCCATATCTCTGGAATGTGAAGATAACTTCTCAGCAGCTATGAAATTAGAGCTTGGGTGAATACCTTTCTACTGCAGTGTGGTGGAAAGACCACTGGACCACGATCCATGAAGACTCAGGTTTATGTATTGTTCCTATCACTTATTAGCTATGTTATCCTGGGCAAGATACAGTACTTGGCACTTTGGAATAGCAATTTTTTTCCGTTGTGAAATGAATATACCAACAACTGCCTGACAGTGTACTCTTTTTCCACCTTAAGACCAGTGTCCTAATTTAAGACACCATCATCTTTCACTTGAACAGCTGCTGCTCACTTCCAACGGGTTCTCCTCTATTTCATTCTTGCTCCACAGGGCTGTAGGAGTGGTCTTTTAAAATCATAATTCACATTGTGCCATCCTTTTGCCTCAAGCCCTCTACCGGCACCCATTTGTATTTAGAATAAAACACAAATTCCTCACCAAGGCCAAATAGACCATGTGTAGTCTGGTCTTTGCTGACCTCGTTGGCCTAGTCTCCCAACAGTGTCCTTACTCACTGTACTCCTTCCTTCCCCTTGGCCACACAAGCTTGCCATACCTCGAGGCCTCTTGCCCTTGCTGTTCCATCACCTGAGAGGTTTTCTCTCCATTTCTGAACGGCTGCTCCATTTACTCTTTCAACTCTCAGGTCACATATTGTCTGTCCGGAGAGGTCGTCCCTGACCACTGAATCTAAGTAGTATCCCCTATCATTTTCTAACAAGGTTTTTTTTTTTTTTTGCCTTCTAGCAGTTACTACAATGTGAATTTATCTTGTCTAATTAATTAACTACTATTGTCAGTTTGCCCCAACTAGACTGTAAGCTCTGTGAGGGGTGATATCTTGTCTATGGTTTTTACAATGTATTCCCAGAATTTAGAGCAATACCTGACCATCTAGCATGTACTAGACACTCAATGAGTATTTTTGGTTGAACAATAAGTTTAAATGCAATAATGCATATGAAAGTGTTTAGCCCACAGAATGCTCAAATTTCTTGTCTATGTTTTTACTCTTGGGGATGTACTTGTTCCAGGATAGACTTCTCCTGGTCAATAGGAAATAATGGCAATGATAGTTAATATTTATTGAGCTCTTAATATATCATGGATACAGTTCAAAGTGCTTTTAATGAATTAAGTCATTTACCAACCCTTTAAGATATGTACTATTGGCTGGGCGCTGTGGCTCACGCCTGTAATCCTAGCTCTCTGGAGGCTGATGTGGGTGGATTGCTCGAGGTCAGGAGTTGGAGACCAGCCTGAGCAAGACCCTGTCTCTACTAAAAATAGAAAGAAATTAATTGACCAACTAAAAATATATTTAGAAAAAATTAGCCAGGCATGGTGGTGCATGCCTGTAGACCAAGCTACTTGGGAGGCTGAGGCAAGAGGATTGATTGAGCTCAGGACATTGAGGTTGCTGTGAGCTAGGCTGATGCCATAGCACTCATTCTAGCCTGGGCAACAGAGTGAGGCTCTGTTTCAAAAAAAAAAAAAAAAAAAGATATGTACTATTATTATCCTAATTATTAAGATGAGGGAACTGAGGAACAGAGGAATCAGGTAAGAGAGGAACAAAGCTAGTAGGTGGTGATGTTGGAATTTAGACTCAGGCAATTTGACCCCACAACTATGATCGTAGCCATTGCCTACTTAAGACCTTCGTCTTAGCAAAGCATTCAAGTCTTCCAACAATCTGACAACCATTAAACGCCCCAACCTCTTCTCTTATTATTCATTCATTCACTTGCACATCCTTTCAATGTATATTGAGCATCTACGTTATGCCAGGTATTGACCTAGGTCCTAGACTAAAGAGCGGAATGACCCAGTCCATTTCCTGAGGTATTTTGGGGGAAGGGAACAAAAGGAATGAACAGAAATGTGAAAATCTTTGATTTACCAATGCTTCCAGCACATTTGAACTTTACTTATTTTATGATCTAAGATTTTTCTTTTATGACAAATGATAGTCTTCAATATTTATGAGATGCCTTTCAGATACCTGATTTCTCCAAACACAGCACCAGCTTTCAGAGTGACCAGAACTTGAGCACCATCAGGGCCTCCAAGGACTTGGACTTCTCCTTGTTTGATGATATGCATTTCCTTGCCAATTTCTCCCTATGTGCCAGATATAAAGAGGAAACAGTTCTTGACAATTATACCCCACATTAAGAAATATAAACTCTTTCAGAGGAGTAAATGTAAGTGAAGGAAGCTAAGGAACATCAATGTACAAGTAATTATCTTTTTTTTTTTTTTTTTTTGAGACAGAGTCTCGCTTTGTTGCCCAGGCTAGAGTGAGTGCCGTGGAGTCAGCCTAGCTCATAGCAACCTCAAACACCTGGGCTCAAGCAATCCTGCTGCCTCAGCCTCCCAAGTAGCTGGGACTACAGGCATGTGCCACCATGCCCGGCTAATTTTTTCTATATATATTAGTTGGCCAATTAGTTTCTTTCTATTTATAGTAGAGACGGGGTCTCGCTCTTGCTCAGGCTGGTTTCGAACTCCTGAACCTCGAGCAATCCGCCCGCTTCAGCCTCCCAGAGTGCTAGGATTACAGGCGTGAGCCACCGCGCCCGGCTACAAGTAATTATCTTAAGATCTGAGGTAGTTGGCAGAAATCGGTTGTACATACCACGTGAAAGGAAATGATTAGGAAGGTGACACCTGAAGACATTTCGATTAGCACACTGCTCCAGGAAGGGGTATGGGTAGAGGAAGTAACTGATTGTAAGCATGGGCAAGCCTGGCTTGGTGAACACTGCTACACTTTGAAGAAGGTGGCCGGCCTATCCAAAGGGCCCAGGCTGCAGCCATTCAAAGACAATTCTGTTCTTCTGCCTATGGCATTAAGGTCTCATCTTTGGGAACTGGGGCATAGGAAATTTTAAGCCATTATTCTTATTTCATATGGAGAGGAAGTGTTAATCCTGCAGGTTGTTTTACTAAGTTTTTGCTTAACTTTGGGAACTCTGAGAGTCAGGGCAATGACCCTTGTTCGAGCCCTGGGAATCAAACTCCTGGAATGTTCACATGGCCACTGGCTAATTGTGTTATTCTCTATGCCTGAGGCAGTGTAGCAGGATATACCAAGCTGTCAGTACTGTTTAATGTAAACACGAAGATTTATGATGTGTACCTAGCACCAAGTTTGAAGTCTGAATCGTGCCTGGTCATGCAGCTACATGACCAGCCCCATTTAAGAACTCTGGACCCAAAATTCACATGGGCTTCCTAGGGTGGAGATATTTTCCTCATGTCTTTGCAGTCCACTGCAGAGAATAATGTATCCATGTGACCCTCACAGAAATAGGACCCAGGAATCCTGCACTGATTCCTCTAGTCTTCCCCCATGTATAGCTTTTTCTTCCTGTTATGGCATTGTATTCTTTGCTGTAATAAATCTTAAGCCATAAACACAGCTTTATGTTGAATTGTGTGAGTCCTTACAAGCAAATCACCAAACTAGTAGGTGATTGTGAGACCCCTGGAACACATTTTCTCACTCCAATTTCCAAAAAAAAAAAATTAAATAAATAAATAAATATATCTTACAAGAGGTCTAAAGGGCATTTAGGTCAAGAAAGCTTGTTAAACTCCAAACAGGCCAGTTTGCATAATACTAGGCAATATTTGGATAGTAGTACCTGCTTGTCTGAATGAGTAGCGTCTTGATCACCCTCAGCTACAAAAAAAAAATAGCATGAATACAATAAATTCATTCCCTTGGTTTAGGAAGGGACTGGGTTATTTATTTTTTTCCAAACAAAAATTTATTCTTTCTTTTTTATTTATTTTTTTTTTCTAGAAAAAGTACCAGGTACAATTTTTTCCTGTTTTTTTTTCATTTTGTTTTGTTTTTTCAAGTTTCAGCAAATGCTTGTTCCCCTCAGCCCAGCCCCAGGAGTCAGGACTGAGGCTGGGTCAGAGTCTGGAGTGGGGAATGGGGTAGTTGGGGACCACACGACTGAGTTTGAGGGGCGCCCCTCACCCCAGCTGAGGTAGGTGGGTCAGAGTCTGGCCAGGTGAGAGGAGGGACCCAGTCCTTGGCCCTGACTCTGCCCCCTGGACACCTTCCTCAGCCAGGACCCCAAAGCAAGGAGACATAGGCAAGAGGAAAGGGACAACTGGAGTCTGGAGTCCTAGGAGAGGGGCAGCTAACCCCTGTGTGTGCATGCATGGACGCTTTCTCTCTCACACACACATGCCACATAAACACAAGCTTGTGCACACACACATACACATAAGTTGGCTCTCAGAGATGGGTCAGAAGGTAGGGAAAGTGCGGGGACTGCGGAAGGACAGGGGAAGCTGAGTCTTTGGCTAGTGACTCAGTCCCTCTGGAATAACCCCTCTGCCCTCAGCTGAAAGAGAGCAGTTCTCCTCCCGCCCCCTCATATGCCTCTTCAACTCCTGAGGTTGGAGCAATATCTGAGAGTGGGAAAGGAGGAGAGGTGATTCCAATGATCAGGTTTGGGAGGTTACCAAGGCAATCCAATTTGAATAGATTATAAATTAAAAATAAATAAAATAATAAGTGGCCCCTGCCCAGGACAGGGAGGCATTGCTGGCATGACTTGCCTGGGAACTTGGGACAACCTCAGGGTAGCTCCAGTTCCTCTTACCCAAGCTGGCCTGGGAAACCGAAGGGAAGGGACAGGCACATGGAGTACCCGGAGTAGGGCAGGGTATAGTAAGGATCAGAAGCTTTAAACACCCAAATAATCAATTTGGGCACGAGCATGGCTAGGGCTTTAATTCAAGCCTGAAAGGTCTCTTGCCATCTCTCCACATTTGTACTCTGTCCAGGATGGAGCAGGATGGGCAGGTTGTTGGCCCATGTGGGTTCAGAGTGCTGGCAATGAAGGCAAAGGTGAATAACGTGGATTGTGAGGGGCCTCAGTTATGGCCTGCAGTGAGCTAAGCTGACGCCATGGCACTCGCTGGCTCCAGCTGGGGGAAAAAAGCAGGTGGGTATCTCCATGCAGGCTTAAGCGGCCTGAGCTGGAGCTTGGGAACCTGAGGTGCAGCGAGTAGCAGAGGAGGCGGAGGGTGGGGCTAGCATTCCCCTCCTCACCCACAGGCACCAAAAAGAGGTGATGGCGCAAGAAGGTCATGTGGGCAGCAGGCATGTCCGAGAAGTCAAAGGTCACGAGGAACATCTTCACCACAGTCTGGTTGGGGTTAAACAAGGTCACTTGGATGGTGCCCACTTGGGGCACGCTGTAACCCTTCCTCCCGAGGGGGAGGTCCACGACGCCCAGGAAGGGGGCTGGGGCATTTTGCTTAGAAACATCAAAAAAGGTGACAGTGACAGGCAGCGTGACATGCTGGGGGCAGTAGGACCCACAAGCTCCAATCTCTGCTGTGAAGCCCTTGATGTGGCCAGATGGTGCAAATCGCCCTTGTCCTGGCAGCAATGATTCCTCAAGTTGCCCAGCAAGGTATGGCTGACAGCAGGGGTAGGAACGCGGGGAGAGGGGGCGGAGGCCCTGGGGAGGCTCAGCAGGCCTGGTCCCTTCTGGAGGCTTCAAGGGAGCTCAGCTTCAGGTGACGGGCACCTTTCAGACACTGCCCCATGGGACTGCAGTCTGTTGGGTCCAAAACAGGCTCCTTGGGCCCCGGGCAGCAGGTGGCTCCAGAAGGGTGTGGCTTTGGCATCAGAACGGTTGGCAGCAGGAGGGTGGCCCAGGGTTCCCCCGACACATCAGAGGGGCTGCCCCTCATTCTCAGAGCTGACATCTGGGGCGTCTCCAGCAGGGAGCAGCCTTCGCTTGGTGGGGCAGGGGCCTGGTAGACTCCAGGGGATGTCGCACCCCTGCTGGGCTATAGCCCATGAGCAGGCCACCCTGGAGAGCCCCCTGCCTGACTGGAGGCTGTGAAGGGCCAGCCTCTGGCTCCGCCTGCACCTGACGCATGAAGCCCCCCCTTGAGTCAGGGGGGTCCCCCCACACGGCCTTTATGCTGGGCCTGGGCTAGGGGGCCTGGGGACATCCTGATGAAGAGGCCTTAAGCCTAGCTGTGTGTCCCTTTTCCTGACTGAGGCCTTGCTCCCCTAGCTTGCAGTCTGGTCCATGCCCGCTGCACTGGCAAGGTGACTGCCACCATTCCGTGCAGCTCCTGGGCTCAGATGGACCCGACTCCTGGACTCTTTGTTCTGGACGATCCCCTGTGCCCTGCTAAGCCTTCCAGGTCCTTTCTCACTCCTCTCCTCCCCACTGCCTGGGGCAGGCCCCATACCCTACTGGAGCTTCCGAAATTTGCTTTTTCCTCTTAGCACACACTCACCCCACTCCCAAACTGGCTCTGCTGCGGTGGCCGCTGCTCCAGGCCCTTCCATCTCGTCCCGGTCCCTCACCCCGGATCCCCCGTCCTCCTTGCCTTGGGCCCCTAACTTAGATAAAGGGTGGCTCAGGCTGAGCCCTGCTCTGCTAGGCTCTTCTCTGTTCAGCTTCGTGTGCAATACTAGCCGACTCTAAGCGTCCGTAGCCCCCCAGGCTCTGCCGCGCCTCTCCCTGCGACTGTCCCTCCGCAGGGCAGCCCCGCTCCGCTGCCCCTCTGACTCACAGGCCACGTCCTACCAGCTGATGGGGCCGCCCGCCCCGCCCAGCGCCCCGCCACCCCCGCCGCCGGGTTATTTGAATTAATCAAATATTCTCATTAACCATACTTTCAAAAGATTAGAATATACTAAAATCAACTCAGGATTAAACAATATTGATTATAATTGATGCTCTGAGCTGGTTGAAACAATGTCTACTTTGTCCCAGTGCTGAGCACAAGGCTTGCCATATAGTAGATACTTATTTATGAATGAGGGAAATATAATTTAACTGTTCTCTGGGAAGCTTTAATGTTCTTTAATACCTAGGTTTATTTTCCTGAACAACAATTATTGTTGTTTTATAATTGTCAGGTTGAATTTAAAGTTAAGCAGACTCTAGCTCTTAGTTAACAACCGGGAAGTTCAAATTCTCATTTTATCTTCCTGATACCCGTATGAGGCAGGTAGAAAAAGTATTGTTATTTTCATTTTGCAGAAAGAAAAACAAAGGCACAGATTGGCTTAGCCGACTAGCCAAATTTCCATGACTCCAAAATTAAAAGCAAAGGGAAGC